TACTGCGAAACATTCCGAGCCACTTTTCTGCTATGGAGGGAGCGCATTTGTTCCTACAAAGTTGTGGCTTGAGTTTTAGTGTCGCACAAGTTAAGCGACTTCGCTCGCTTAGCCGTAATGCACCGATACTAGTTACCCTTTTCTCCATGATAGAAGTCAATTTTATCTTGTCCAGTAGGGAGATAACTAGAGAATTCTGCCGTAACTGGCGCTGCTCCGTTTCGCCAGACCTCACACCCCTGCAGCGAAGACTGAATAAATTAAAATCGGCAAAAACCAACACCAAGATAATGACACCTACTGTCAGTCTGAATAAGTCCTCTACAACTCCATCTGCGGCATCTGCACATCACGGCATAGTCGATTCCGTAGGCAATTCGACTACTTTTAATGCTGAGCTCTATAAACACACCATCACGCTTTCGGCATCTGCACATCACGGCATAGTCAATTCCGTAGGGAATTACACTACTTTTAATGCTGAGCTCTTTAAACAAACCATCACGCCTGGTATAAACACGCCTCTATCGACTCCCCCAGCAATCCCTAGTAAGCCTTAGCATGTGTCTAAGTCAAAGGCAAATCCAATTGCTGTCTCAGCCACTCGGACACCCGATAAATCCAGCACCACTATTAAACCTTTTCCTTCACAATTGGCTAACAGTGCCTCAAATACCCTAACTCAAAACGTAGCTTATTCCCAACTGTCCCGCAGCCCTTATATCGAGGCAGTTAGGCCGAATATGCCGATTTTCCCGCCGTTTAATAGAACTCTTGCTCCAATGGTAACAATGCGTCCCACACCCCCCTAACTTGTTTCCTCCACAGCCGTTCTACTAATGTATTCCTCGTGCTAATGTCTATACTGGATCAGTTAACTCATCCGATCCTCAGTTCCGTTCCGGCGGGAATACGTTGCGGTATCTGCCCCGCGGATTTTCAGCTGAAAATAAGTTAGCTAACAATGGTTACCAGTTTACCTGCCCGTCATTGCCTCCCCCAAGCCCTACGCCTTTTTATCCACGTCAGAATTTTTTGATGCCACAAAATTTTTTGCAGAACAGGATGGTTGCATCCGGACCGTTTGCTCCGTGGGCAGCCTAGAACTGGATGATGTAGCCTACGTCCCTCAGAAACTAATAGCCTTTCCCTTCAAACTTTTTGTTTTAAATGCCAGATCCTTGCTTAATAAGATGCCTTTGCTTCAGACTCTGGTGTTCGTCCATTGCCCAGATATTGTTTTAGTAACTGGGACGTGGGCATCAGCCTCAGTAGCTGACCCCGAACTCTCTCTTCTAGGCTATAATTGTATTCGAAATGATCGCCAAGATAGCCGTGGTGGGGGCAGCTGCGTCCACGTTAAGCAAACACTTACATTTTTGCCGTTGGACCTCCCGCATTTTTCCTCAGTAGAAGGAAGCTGCTGACTCCAGGTTGCCCTAAAAATAAGTTCTTTTTACTCGTTGGCTGCGTCAATCGCCCTCCCAACGCCAGCGACATTTTTGGTCGTTTACTCTCGCAGGCATTTCATGCTGAGGCCGACTCAAGCTTTAAGTATCAATTGGTTGCGGGTGACTTTAATCTCCCCGAAATCCGCTGGTCTTCGCCTTCAGGTCCCCGAAGGTTCGAAGACTTTCTTGAGGCTGTGGATGTTGGGATGTGGACTCAGGTTGTCGATTTTCCCACCCGAGGCTCAAGCATTCTTGACCTAATTTTCTGTAGAGGCTGCCTGCCATCGTCAGTGTCATCCCTAGGCCCACTCGGGGGCTCAGACCATGACATAGTTTTTTCAACGTTGAAAATTCGTGGCTGACAAAACGTTTTCCCCAAAGTTTAACTTTTTCCGCGATTTCCGACAAACTCGCTCAACCGAATTATTAACACACCTTAATTCCTACGACTTGACTGATTCTTCCTTAGTTCGGATGTAAATGTTTGCACTGCAAATCTGTACGAAATTTTGGGTCCGCTTATTCCTCGTTTTGTCCCCCGTAAGAAAATTATTAATGTTGGGGATGAGGTTTTCCTACCCTTACCCTTTCGTTGCAGATTGCGCAGGCTTTATCGTCGTTTCCATCTTCAGAACGATGTTTCTGTTCTGCCCTTGACTTGTGATATTTTTGATCGAGCTAAGAGATTGTCTGAAGAAAAACAGCTAGCCGAAGATGTCCAGTTTTCCGAAAACGATTCGTTAAATGTCTCGAAACTTTTCTCAGTATCCAGCTCATTTTTGGTTGACATCAGCAGTGAACTGCATTCCTCAGGGTTGGTGGTCGATGGCCCATCACGTCCAGCTGAAAGCGAGTTGAGTATTACCGGCAAATTTTTATCACAACAAATAGAAAACGGTTTACTAATAAGTGATAGGTCGTTTTTTCCTGAGTATATATTATTTTTCTGAGCACCGGACCGACCGCGCGTGACCGAGCGGATAAGGGCGTCAGTCCTCGCACGATTGGTCCGTGGTTCGAATCCCGAACAAGGCGGATTTTTGTCAAACATAGTACGGTCATGGACATTTGCATTCCCCATGCTAACAAGGTATCTTTTGAGATTGCATTAATTTATAATGTGCGACTTCAATTGCTAAGTCGATACTTTACCGAGCACAAAGTAAAGCTTTTTTGCCAAACGGAATTCAGTATCAAATGTCGATTGGAAGCAAAGAACGACTTAGCCTTCGCAGACAGGTTCTAAGAAGTCTTCGCTTTCTGCCGGTTATCGAGTACTTCATCGACGGAGGATTAACTTTGGAAGCAAGACGGAGCCAGTATTCGTAGGAATCTGAACTAAACCGAGCTAGATGCTTTGTTAAACTCCGGATTGTTATTTCCTGCCCTAGTAGCAGGAGTATATCGCCTCGATAGCGGGTAGAAAGCGTTTTTTCGATATACGCATATCGAGTGGATAACGTTTTTGTCCGGCGGTAGTATATCGATCAGATATCGAATTTTCGAAATACTCGAAAGACGATAGCAGTGTAAGAGACAAACCCACTAGTTGGGCACAGCGAGTAGACTATCCGGTAAACGAAAATAGCAGTATCCCAACAGTTACAAACTAGTAAATAAGAACAAAGTCGTCAGCAGGTAAACGTGTACGTGCGCGTTCTTATTCTTATTCAAAGTTGTGTCAAGGCGTATTGTAACTGATTAAAACAAAACGGACTTAAATGTCACTACAGCAGCATCACGGATAGCCATTTACACGACCCTTTTCCCACGGAAATACCTCCGTTTTATACTAAATCGACCTATATTGTTTCTGTCTGCCCTCACCCTCCTCCTAAACCATTAACCGTAGTCTTAGTCTGGATGACAAACGTATAAAATAGCGCAAAGTACCAACAACACTTAAAAACCGTATGAATTCGTATGTATATATTAGAAAAACAATAAAATAAATATTAACATTAATTTTTGTAGTCTCATTAGTCCATATTGGCGCTATTCATTATTGAATTGGTCGAGCTCCCTGTTGAAGATCCCGTAGTTGGATCTAAATTAAAGAGTAGTGTTTACTTGGTAATGGTGGAACAATTACCGCCGGCTTGGGTGTTGGTACTAATCCTTTGCCCTTTTTTGACAGTTCCCAGAGACTGTTTAAGCCGCTTTTTAATGGACAACTTCAGATTGGAAAGGGCGGCTTTACCGTCGCCATTCCAAATCCCTAAGACCTCTGTGGATAGAGCAGTGATCAATAATTATTGAGAACGTACTCTTGATGACTTTGTACGTCGCCGAATCGGGTAGTCCACTTATACAACAGAGCGATTGCGTACAGTGGCTTGTGAGACATTTACAAACGACCGTCGTTTCTGCACCGTTTCTTTAATTTCTCTAAATATTTCGTCACCATATCGCTTTATTGGATGTCTTCTTGCTCTCTCGGACTCTTCCTTAAACATAATGACAACAAGATGTAGAAAATAAGCAGATAGATGGCGATGACAATAAGGAACAAGGAGGATGCACCACACTCACCTGCTCCACGCTGTCTTCATGAGATAATGGCGTGCAGGCGTAAGTGCGCGCCAACGTACGCCAACAAATGAAAAACAAGAATGCATAGGGGAGGAAACCAATGAAATTACGAGGAGTGGTATATCGAAAAAACGCTATTGGAGTATATCGACTCGATATACACTTGCTACTAGGGTGAGAGCCTCAGGGAAGGATGAAGCTATCGTCGGTAATAGGATCCGTGGAAGCGTAGGTTGTTTGCACTTTTAAACTGATTTCTCGATTTATTTCGACAAGGCGTAACTCTGGGTAGAGACGGGTGAACGAAATGTCAACACTTGGGAATACGAACCTGCTAGCACCAGCCCCGTCTGGCCCCGTCTAGCCCCCAGGGCTAAACGGCATGCGTCCTTTATCATTTAAGTTGCCCTAAGTAACTTTAACTTAAAGAATGAAAAAAATTGCCGGATAAATTATTATGTCACAAATACTTGATAAATACATTTAGAGGGGACTAAAGGAATAATTAGGCATCTTTTTATGGTTAATAAGCCGTTTAAGTCCCCTATAAAAGTATTTATCATGTATTTCTGTCATAAAAATGCCAGAAAATGCTGATATAAATTTAAATCAGTATTAATTAATTAATTTGAAAGTATATCAGAAAGAAGTATCCGGTAATTAAACATGTGTCTAATAGCAAAGTAAAAATTTAATTTTCTGTGCATAAGAAAATTATGCATACTAGTTGACTAATTAATATTAAATAATACTACTATTAAATAGAGGTTAGTGAAAATTATACTAAAAATCATAGCATAGCAGACTACATCGGAAATATTAAATTACTCACTGTGCCTTCCGATATTGATTGCGAACAGTCAGGGCTGCCCGCTGAATTATCCAGGGAACCCTAATTCAATGTGTTGTAATAACTTGTTAGAAAAATATGTACCACATCAGCTGTGCGGCGCCGTTTTGCTCGCCCTCCGTATCGATCTTGGGTTCCGTGGGACCATTCAATAGCTGTTAGCCTAATTACTTTGGAATGGCAGCCACGATACTGTTCATTGCTGCGTATTGCATCTGCAGGTGTTAAAAAGGACATAATAAACAGACCACTAAGGACGCTGAACAGCGGGCTCCCCACGAAAGACTGCTTGTCGTTAGAACCAGCCCAACAGAAACTTTGGCAAAGGGGAGGTCCTAAAAGGGCTGTCAGGAGATAACGTATAAACTCCTTTTCAGTTCTTCCTCCCACGGTGGACAAATGTTTTACCTATAAGCTTGTGTACATACCGTTTCCTGGTCTATGTCAGTGTTCAATCCAATTTTCGTGACGAAATTTTGGTACGTATCCGCTGTCCGCAGAGGCACCTGAAGAAGAGGCGGCTCCTCTTTCGATACAAAGCTCACCGTTTGCAAGGCTCGTCGATTGTCGGCAAGCATGACCTTGATGTCTTCAATATTGGTTTTCAACCAGAGCATTTCCTCTGAAAGGAAGTCCAATTTTTCCTATATAATATTAAAGAAGGTTTGAATCGGTTTACCTGTGACATGCCAACTCCTGTTTAATGTCATGGAACAAGCGTTGTTGTGGAGGAGGTATGTTCTCATCGATTGGCAGTCTAAAGCGACAATGTGATAAGGCACGATTACTCATAAGAAGTTTTTTCTCCTTGTCTTGGTTGAGAGTAGGAGGGACCCGGCACATTATCGTTTGTTGGCCTGAAATTCGTTTAAGCCAATGAGTCCTACCGGAGTACAGCTGGAGGCACGGGCTATGGGCCTAACCGTCCGCTTGTGTGCCTTCGTATGTCATGCAGGCCGTCGTCGTCGTCCGAATCTGAAGTCGGTCTTCGGGGATGTCTATGAAAAAATAAGTAATGTATTGGCAACGTACTTTGTCCTCATGCCTCTTCCTAAAGTTTCCGGCTCTGACGAAGAAAGGTTGTCCGTTTGTTCTGCCGTTTGGGCTAACCTGCGCGCCTTACCGAGATCAAGGCCATCCTTGAGAACTTTAACTTCATACAGTTTTGCGCCATCGGTTGGCCGTCGATTGGCCTCCAGCAGCCGCTGCATTTCCCGGTCCTTTGGCCAGGCAACTAACTGATCTAAAAGGAACCAAGATTTCGCAACAGCGGCCAATGATTCATCGCAGACAAATTGAACAACTGAATACATCTACAGGGACCTTTGGTTGATGCGGGATGGACGTGCAAATCATGTCAGTGTACATTAAAAGTGTGCAACAGGGGGATTAAATAAAACTGTTCGTCAATATAAAAAGAAACATATTTTCAAGTAATGTCACTAAGGGAGGCAGTGTTTGTGCTGCTCGAACAACGGGAGGCTTTGAAAATAAACAAACGAGAAGAAGAAACAGAGATGGTAAAATGGGTGACGCAGTCCTCGAAGGGGCGGTACGTTATTTCGGAAACCGACACAGATGTCAGTACACACGGTCTCTCTCCAATTAGCACGACGTTATCAGGCGCCTCGGTGGACAATACGTAGCCATTGGGAAGAATAGCGGTCGACCTGCGCGGCAACTGAAACGACCGTGGTACCCCCTCGTCGTCGTCCAACAGCAGTGAGCTAGTTGGCAACTCAGGCAAACGTCTCTCAGAATAACGTTTGTACACCTGTGCGGCTACATTACTGGGACCCTTGATGGTACTGCAAAGGGTTTGTAAAAAAAGATTCGAAAGGGAAAGCAGAAAAATTGTCCAAGACTCCAAAACGGCTAACGTCCTCGTGGAGGTGGACTAAACAATGAAAATTATAAACAAGATCCGCAGGACTGTACAATATCGGGAAATCGGAAACAAATTTATCTAATAGCAAACGTCCAAAATCAATGAAGGATTTGTGCAAAATGGGATGGGAAAATATAAAAACGGCAACAAACAAAAGAAGAAAATGATAATAACGGGAGGAATCCAAAGGGGAAGCTAGGACTACAGGACCTATGTACAAGAGGAACTGTCGGTGTTCCGCGGCCTTCCAGTATTCCAGACAATCAAGAGGTCTGCACTTGCGTCAAAATTCAGCAGGCAAACATTGACTGCACTGTTTTATGGAGGCATTAATTGTGATGCACTGTTTCCCCGTAGCCAGCCGCCACATATGTAGCAGCTTCCGCATGACACCAAGACAAACAAGGTGCATGTAGTCAATTGGAAAGGTAGCAACCATATAAATAGGCAAGTCCTCGAAAGGTGAGATGCCTTTGTGGTGCTGCTCCTGACTTCTCATGCGGAATGACCTGTCATTACGCAGACGCCCGCTGTGTACGGGGAACGTCATGCGGTTTGCCAGGGGCCTTCCCATATGACAACACCTAGGAGGATTACATTTTCGTCCATTATATCAATTACCTGTCGCAGCCGCAATAGCCATTATGCGCTTTTACTTGCCGGACGTAGGACCGAGCAGGCGTGTCGCAGATGATGTTGGCGAGCTCAACTCTAACTACGGCATCCGTATCCGGGACCTGAATTCCGCTGGTCAGAATATCCTTCAGTTCTGAGATGCACTGGCCAAGAAATACATCCAAACGCGCAGGCTTACCGGAACCAGAGAACACTCCAACAACAAACGACAGTCCACGGACAGGATAGGTGACTCGACCGAGGATTGGCCATAGACACTGGCCAGACCCTTTAAAGAGCTTCATTCCGTCAATGTGGAGCTGAACCCGTATTTTCGGTAACAAAGTCGACGGCCGAAGTTGCAGCTCACATAACAGACCGCGTTGACGGCCCAGGTGGACGTAGCTGCCGTTAGAGAGGGACTCACTAAGGCATGCTCGCGGTGTCTGCATGAGAGTTCGCGGGTCCTTGGGCACCTCTGGGTGGTATTTCCGCAAAAATTGGAACAACAACTTGAATGTTGCCTGCGGCAGTTGGACACTTAAGCAGAATTCCCTCAAATCCGTCAGGAAGCAATTGCCACTGAACGGGTTCGAGCTTTCATCTGCAACCTGGTCGTCGTCTACATCGTCTTATAACATACGCATATAATACCTACCAATGCTAACTTCAGGACTAAGGTGCGGCATCGGGGGTTCGGGTGATGGCTCCGTTACGAGAGATGACGTAGACGGCAGCGAGGGGTCATCGGTGGCGGCATCGTACGCCATCTTCGCCCGCTTAGTCATGTTGTGCATTGTACTGCGATGAATTCCTCAGTATTTCCTTTCCATATTTGCTTAGAATTAACATATAAAGACCATTAACACATATTACACCGCCATATACTACACTCAAGCAGCCAGATTACGTGCCATTCTTATAAATAACTTTAAGTACGATTCTAGAGACTATAACTAAACATTTACTTATTTCAATGACACATTGCATCGCATGGAAGAAATAAACAAGTAAATGGATAACGTACTGCAGTCCAAACGAGCCGGATATGGAGTAGGAATTGGTCATCTGTATCGATCTCGCGTGCACACAGTCAGCGTAAAAGTGCCGTCCACGTCAGCAGGTACATGACCGACTTAAACAAGGCCAATATTTGCCTTTGTGAAAAATTACTTCCTCCCGATTTTATTCGACCGAAAACGCATTATACAAGCTTAAAAGCTTATATTTAGATAGATAGATTTAACGATAATAGAGGAAAATCTGTCTAATATAATGCAGAATGACGTGATTAGAAAGGATGGAAAGTCACCTGAATTTGGACGGGGCCTGGCCCCATTTAGCTCCGTCTGGCCCCCGGGGCCATGTGTTGGCAGCGGGGTAAATTCCAGTCGAGTTTAAACGGCGGCTCCTCTGCAACAGCAACCTTGACCCGATCGACACTTATTCACAGTCAGACAAATGATCGAATTGTGGATATCGGGTGTATTTACCCCAAGCCGTCTCTCCCGTCAAGGTTTTCCTACATTTCGGACTTCACTAATTCGGGTTCTGGAAACGTACGACATTTAAATGAGAAAAAATACTCTATTTAGAGGGATAATGCATTAAGGAATAATTTATTCGATTCTGAACTTCAAGTGTATTTTTCCCGTACTCTACGGCCAAGCTCTATCCCATCGGCCGCAGCGTCTTGTCTATTTTTCTCCTTATTTGAATTATTATAAGTAGCCACACTTCCATGTACATTCGGCCATGATCCAATCCCATCCCTTTGCAGATATCTCCTAAGCACTCAATTACTGAGAATTATTTTTGCGTCCTTGAAGAATTCTAAAATACAATATCATATTCTTCGGGAATTTTAAGGATTGCACGCTATCCTGTTTACCCGGACTATTTAGTCCCTGGTGCCTAGGTGCCTGCAGGCAAGACCCCAAAAGTCAGTGCTCGCATGTGGTTAAACATCCAAGCATACCACTACCGACTGACACGCTGCTATTCAGGATTTCAGATTCGCGAACAGCTTTGAATTATAATTACCGACTTTATGCATATCATACTATTTCTACTGGAATTTAACGTTTGCCCTTTGCTGATCCGGAAAATTTATATGACCTTGAAAGTCAGCTTGGGAGTTTTCTGCGGCCCCAATTAGACCTGCCGTTTCGGCCACTATGGCCGTTGCCGAGTTTCCCGCTCAGAGCGCAATGTCTGAGGATGAAGTTGAGGAAGAAAACAGGCCGCGAGGCAATAATCTGAAACTTTGGGGCAACCTTACGACGATGAATCTAAATAATATGATATATACGAACATCCAGCAGTCACCATACTTTAAGAGCAACCTAATCGAACTGAAGACATATCACGAGGTTATCGATGAAATTTACTACAAAGTAGGTTTAAACACCGTTGTACGAAATGTTTGCTGCTGGTTGAGCATTTAGAGCCCTGGGAGCGTGGAAGCCGCCGAATCGGCTCCCAAACTGGCATGTGTGGTGGCGTTCGGGGTGTTGGCACTGGAGGAATAGTGTCGACCGCCTACTGTCTCCTTTATAAGCTTTTTACTTTGAAACTTACGCGTAAACAGTTAAAAGGCCTTCTTGAGCATCCAGACTCGCCCTATATCCGTGGACTGGGTTTCATGTACATAAGGTTGGTTTTCCATACTTCCGCCTCATCTCTCCCAGATACTGTCTGCCTCCGGAGGATCTGTGGATCTGGTACGCACCATACCTCGATGACACTGAGGTGCGTATTATTTGCTAGGTAGGGTTGCAGCGCAGGCCAACCATGCGACTTGAGTCCGGCTGTAACCAAATGCGTAAGAACCTGGCTACCCATTTCAATTTGTTATTTTGCCTGTTAATAGTTGCTTATTTCTCTTTGCTACTAGGAAATTGATGT